AGTCAAGCATACGGTAATTTACACGTTTTTTGCTATAACGTCAGTCCAAAACACTTGTTTTTGCAGTGTTTTCAATGCTCTGGCATCCAAAAACCCTGCAAAATCTTGCTATGTACAATGTTTTTTTCATTTTTGGCCGTTTTTCCATTGCCGGAAAGCTACCAAAATGATCCAAAATTCCATTTCAATACCCTCTTGCGCTCAGACACCCAAAAATCTTCGAAAAATGTCGAAAACACCACCGTATTCTGGTCTCGGTGCGAAACCGTTTTTGGCCCCCCCCCCAGCTAAAGCTGATATAGCGACTGCTATATTAACAAATGTCATTGAGCATTTAGTGTTGCTGTTGCCCCCCAATAAGCACGCCTTCACCGCCAAAGCGGTGTGGGCGGATTTCTTGATTGTTTGATTGATTGACTGATTGAAAGATTGATAGGTTTGTTTATTCACCAACAGCCTACGCTAATGGGGTCTTCAGCCCAGAATAGCTCTGGTGTGCACTGGTGCAGGCGCCGGGTCAAGTTCAACGAGGTTCTGGAGAAGGTTCCGGAGAAGGTTCCGGGAAACTTTGGTGCAGAGCCGGGTCAGGTTCAACAGGGTTCTGGAGAAGGTTCTAAGAAGGTCTGGGAGGCTTTGGTGCAGAGCCAGGTCAGGTTCAACAGGGTTCCGAAGTGTTCCGAAGAAGGTTTCGGAGAAGGTTCCGGGAGGCTTTGGTGTAGAGCCAGGTCAGGTTCAACGGGGTTCCGGAGAAGGTTCCGGAAGAAGGTTCTGGCGAAGGTCTGGGAGGCTTGGGTGCAGAGCCAGGTCAGGTTCAACAGGGTTCCGGAGAAGGTTCCGGTGAAGGTCTGGGAGGCTTGGGCGCAGAGCCAGGTCAGGTTCAACGGGGTTCCGGAGAAGGTTCCGGAGAAGGCCTGGGAGGCTTTGGTGCAGAGCCAGGTCAGGTTTAAGAGGTTCTGGAGAAGGTTCCGGAGAAGGTGTGGGAGGCTTTTGTTCAGAGCCAGGTCAGGTTCAACAGGGCTCCACAGAAGGTTCCGGAGATGGTCTGAAAAGGAGAAGGTTCCGGAGAAGGTTCTGGGAGGCTTTGGTGCAGAGCCAGGTCAGGTTAGGCCTTGGTGCAGAGCCAGGTCAAGTCCAACATGGTGCAAAGCCAAATTAGGTTCAACAGGGTTCCGGAGAAGGCTGCGGAGAAGGTTCTGGACAACGTTCCGGAGAAGGTCGGGACGCTTTGGTGCAGCGCTAGGTTCAACGGGGTTACGGACAGAAGGTTCCGGGGAAGGTTCTGGAGAAGGTCTGGGAGGTTTTGGTGCAGAGCCAGGTCAGGTTCAACAGGGTTCCGAAGAAGGTTCCGGTCAAGGTCCGGAAGGCTTTGGTGCAGTGCAGGTCAGGTTCAACAGGGTTCCGGAGAAGGTTCCGGATGGAGAGCTTTGGTGCAGAGTCAGGTCAAGTTCAACAGGGTTCCAGAGAAGGAAAGCCAGGTCAGGTTCAAGAGGGTTCCGAAGAAGGTTCTGGGAGGCTTGGGTGCAGAGCCAGGTCAGGTTCAACAGGGTTCCGGAGAAGGTTCCGGTGAAGGTCTGGGAGGCTTGGGCGCAGAGCCAGGTCAGGTTCAACAGGGTTCCGGAGAAGGTTCCGGAGAAGGCCTGGGAGGCTTTGGTGCAGAGCCAGGTCAAGTTCAACAGGTTCTGGAGAAGGTTCCGGAGAAGGTCTGGGAGGCTTTGGTGCAGAGCCAGGTCAGGTTCAACAGGGTTCCGAAGTGTTCCGAAGAAGGTTTCGGAGAAGGTTCCGGGAGGCTTTGGTGTAGAGCCAGGTCAGGTTCAACGGGGTTCCGGAGAAGGTTCCGGAAGAAGGTTCTGGCGAAGGTCTGGGAGGCTTGGGTGCAGAGCCAGGTCAGGTTCAACAGGGTTCCGGAGAAGGTTCCGGTGAAGGTCTGGGAGGCTTGGGCGCAGAGCCAGGTCAGGTTCAACGGGGTTCCGGAGAAGGTTCTGGAGAAGGTCTGGGAGGCTTTGGTGCAGAGGCAAGTCAGGTTCGACAGGGTTTCGGAGAAGGTTCTGGAGAAGGTGCGGGATTTGGTGCAGAGCCAAATGAAGTTCAACAGGGTTCCGGGGAAGGTTCCGGAGAAGGTGTGAGGCTTTGGTGGAGAGCCAGGTTAAGTTTATCAGGGTTCCGGAGAAGGTTCCTGAGAAGGTTCAGCTGAGTGTTTCCAGCGCTTGGTTTCGCAGCAATCTTCAGAAAGATCTGTAAAAATAGAACGTTGCGGCTGCTGGGGACACCACCGAAGCTTATTTATTTTTATTTATATTTTTATTTTTCTTTGCTTTAGTTATTTATTCTCTTTCTTTCTTTCTTTCTTTCTTTATTTGTTGATTTGTCAGATATGTACTGATTTATTTATTGATTCATTAGTTATTCGTGTTTTTCTTTCTTTCTTTTTTTCTTTCTTTCTTTCTTTCTTTTTTCTTTCTTTCTTAATTATTTATTTATTTGTTTATTTGTTTATTTATATATATGAGATACGGTCAAAATAAGCGTAGATTACTTTAGTAAGGGAGGGTCCAATCGTGTTGAGAAAATGCACCAAACCATGTAAAGCGATAGGGCCCCTCCCAAAAAGCGATAACCTGTAACCATCTGTGGGCAAAATTGATGAAAAATCAACCTGCAGTGCCCGCGTTTCTTGCAGTTGCCATTTCATTTGCTGTCCAAGGTGATTGAGCCATTGCTTTCTGCAGGCAGATTGTTTTTTTCTTCCCAGGTCCCAAAGCAGTAGAATTAAACCAAATTGAACGCAACCAAATTCTGAATTAAGCAAACAATAGATTGAAATCTAATTCTGAATGCCCTTTGTGTGTTTAGATTTAATTCGAATTGCGTCTTCCTTTGTTTCCTTTTCTTTTTCTTTTTTTCTTGTTCCTTCTTTTTTCAGTTAAAACTAAACGCAATTGAATTCTGAACCAAATCAACTCTGATTTCGAATCTTGTTCTGAATTCCATCTATTCCATGTTTGATTTGTCGTTTCTTCTTCCTTTGTTTCCTTTTCTTGTTCCTTCCTTTCTCCTTCTGTTTTTTCAGTTGTCCTTTTTGTTCTACGTTCCTCTTTCCTTCCCTTTCTTGATCGTCAATTCCAATTTAGCGATAACCTTAGCGATAACCTAGCGATAACCTTTTGTTGAAAAAGGGACCCCGGAGGAGGGATAGACTCATTTGATCCCAAGAAGAAGAAGGGCTCAACAAAAAAGTGAACAGGTTCTCGACACCAGGCCACAACGTTGTATTCAGACTTGGGGAGCCTAATGCACTTCTTCATAGCTACGAACGCTTCTTTTTTGGAACCATTGGTCTATATCAAATATGGTCTTTCTAGTTCGGAGATGAGATCGTAACAGATTTCCTTGCTTAGGAAAGAGTCTAGGAATGTGCTTAGATAGCTCCCCAACTTGGTTGCAAACGCAAAGACAACGAAAGGCCCTTAATCCATCCCCGGCAGTTTAGATCTGAATCCGTGAAGCTAATTCCCTTGCATTTTTGCAGTATTTCGTGTTGATTTGAACAAACCACTGGAAAGCGATAGGGCCCCCCCCAAAGAGCGATAACTTGACGGCGGCTCATATATATATATTTTTAATGTTTAGTGATGTATTTATTTTTTTATTTTTTTTATTTATTGATGTATTTATTTATATATTTAAATATTTTTTATCTATTTATTTTTTGTATTTATTTATTTGTTTATTTATTTATATATTTATCTATCTATTTATTGATTTATTGTTTGATTGATTTTTTTTGTTTTTTGTTTACTGATTGATTGATTGGTTGATTGATTGATTGATTGATTTATTTATTTACTTATTTTTGATTGATTGATTTTTATTGATTTATTTTCATTTTTGGTTTATATATGCATCTATGCAATTTTTGGTTTATTTAGTGATCTATTTATATACACATGCATCGTGAGAACAATCTCACATACATGACAACATCTGAGGTCAAAGAATTCTGCTTGCTAAATTACTCATGCAATGCGAGGGTGAGGCGTGGCCACACGGTTTCCTCAATGAACCGCATTTCGCTAGCATTGACTCGGATTGAGACCAAAAATGCTGGGGGTACGGAAACCAAGGAGAACCCATGTTTTTTGCCTATTTATTTCGTGGGTTTTGTTGAGTGGACTGATGTGTGTGCAATTTGCCTGAGGATGTTCCCAGACTTCCTGCCAAACATCGTCGAACATCGTCAAACATCATCAAACATCATCAAACATCATCAAACATCATCAAACATCATCAAACATCATCAAACATTAAAATATTTTTTTTGCAGAATTCCCTGGCACTTGATGTCGGTGGGATTGTTTCGAAAATTTATGTTCCGCGCTGCCAGGCAGGGCACCTTGAAGCAAATCACACTGGAAACATGCAAACATTTGCACAAATTGCTGCTCTTTGGCTTCAAGGTCACAATGGAAAGGCCAACGACGATTAAGATTTCAAAACGATTCAAAATGCCCAGAGGTCTTCAGAACATTCCTGCAAAGACCATATTCAATCCAATTTATAAATCCAACGCCGTGTTTTTTCCTTATTGGATCCTGATACCATTCACCATAGGTCAATCTTCTCTCTACCCTGTGTCAGCCTGGGTGTTTCAACTCGTATTCTCTTGGCCTAGTGAATTACCGTGGCTCCGTGCGGATGCTGAGGCTTCTCTTTTTAAGGGTGTACCTCTTGGACAGGATCCTCGTGCCACTTGTTCTGGTACAGAACCAGAGAAGAAAAACCTCCGAACCAACAGCCAAACATTTTTTTTTTCTGTAATGTGGACTGCTGTGAGTTGCTGAAACGGATTTCAAGACATTTTGCATTCGTTGCATTGCTATACTGTACCTTTGTGAATTCTACGGTTTCAGCCGACGGTGCGAACAATTGCAGTTTTTGGATCTTGACAATATCAACAACTTGTGACCCTATATAAACAATATCAGACAACCTGGTATGGCAACATGGGGATGTGGCTCAGGACTGATGTGCCTGAGTCAACCTTGTGGTATCTGAGCTTAACACGGAGACGACACTCGAATAGTTGATCCAATCCCGACCAAATTCAGCCAAAAACATCCAAAAACTAGATGTGTGCGAATGTATTTTGTTTCATGGCGGGTTTGGGGGTTTGCTGACTTTGTGAGCCTTCTTTGAGCCTTCTTTGAGCCTCAGCTTGCGGGCTAGAGGGACACCTGCACACTGGCCAGGTTTTTCCATGATCGCGAGGAGTCCTTGTATTTTTATATGGCGGCCTTGTGTCTCGGCAAACTGGGCAGAACGATTTGACTTGTGACGTCATGCTGGCAATGGGGCTGGCAATGGGCCTGGCAAGGGGGCTGGAATGGCTGGGTCTTGATATGATTGACTGTCGAAGAAAGCATGTTATGGCAGGAATGGTTTTTGTGTGTATGTTTGCCCTGCAGTCGGGAACCCTTGGGAAGAGCCAAATTTGCACGGATGTTGGGAGATCCAAAGCGTGGACGCTGGCTTCGCTATTTGCACTCACTGGATGAATTCCGAGGATTGTGCCTTTTGGCATTCTCTATGTTTTTGACTATTTTAGCCTGAGCTGGGGCATTACCAGCACAACCATCACCTGGCTTCAATCTAGCTTGCTGCGGCGCTATTTGAGCCTTGGTATTGGTATATTTGGTATCTATCACCCCTACATACCCCTACCAGCTTCTCTAGTGCTTGGTAAATACTGTTGTTTCCTGGCTGTACCACCGCATCAGAGTTGGCTGGTATTTCCCAACACACCACCGTTTGTTGACAGCAGTCCCATGCTCCCAGACATCCAGAACTGAGGAACTACAATAGCGCAGCGCAGACCATAACTGATCCTGCTGTCATCTCCGTGGCTTTTCACCAGGATTCCAGGGCACTGGCAAAGGCTAGGAGCTCAGTCCCAATTAGGCAAAAATTGCCTTTTGCCTCGTTTCCTTATCGTTTCCTTATCGATTTTTTGTCACGTGTCCAACTGCGATCGGACGAAGTGAAAGTTTCCTTTGAAGAGAGGTTTCTTTGTGGTTCGGCACTGTGTGAGGACGGCTACAGAGGAGTCATCAGATTGCAACATTGGTTGCACTTTAATCATCTTTAATACCTGGTGTTCCTTCCATGGTGCTCCCAAGCAAATGGGATTCATATGGGTATATGTGGCATTGACCTGTCTTCGATCTGCAAGAAGTGCATTTTTCTGTACGACTGTTTTCGTTTTGAAGGGCCACTTAGGAGGCACTTAAGAGGTGTGTGCAGTCGCGTTCTTTTTCATTAACTAAAGTCAAGAGAACTGGAGTGAGTACGAGATTGCGTGCCCTGTGCTCTCTTCAAATATATCTTGCATGCATTTATCTACTTGCTGTGTCATGCTTTGTCACTATTCTTCATTCTGCTTGCGGACACAAGACTTAGTTTACGATTCAATCCATCTAAAAGAAACCGCGTGATCCTGGTTTTTGAGCCCAATGAAAGCCAAGGTTTAGCGCATTCGGCAATTTGGAGCCTTGCTTGCATAGTTGCAGAACATTGACGGGTTTGCTGACCGGCTTGCGGCAGTGCAAGATCGTGATGCAAATGGGCAATACTTACACCGTGACTTACACCGTGACTTACACCGTGACTTACACCGTGACTTACACCGTGACTTACACCGTGACTTACACCGTGACTTACACCTGCACACTAAGGCAGTGCTAGTGATCTTTCAAATCACAGCGCCCTACGCCTTCAGCAAACCCTTTCGACCCTCTGCTATCTCGATAGTTCTACTGCTGCCTTTGGCACCTGGCTCAGGATTAGGGACGAGATTATATTTGCGCCAAAATTATTGGAGTTTGCTGCCAGAGTGAACTTGTTTTCTTGAATGATCGCTATTCTATCCGAATTAGAATGCTTTTCCTCAGGTTCTTTTTCTCTTCCTGTATTGCAGAAGCGGTGCCACCAAGAAGGCACGGTCGCGAAGAATCCAAAGAGTGTTGAATTGTCAAATCATATTTATCATATGAATCGCTTGCCGCTCCGTCTCTTTGACTCAACGGTCAGGTGCTGGAAGAAGAGTCGCGGGCGGAGGCTAAGACCGTGGGGGCCACAGAAGTCTTCAGGCGAATGCACCAGCAGCATCTAGCCGCTACCTGTTACATTCCCAGGCAGCCAGCACACATCAGCACACTAAGTCACTAAGATGTTTCCAGAAACTTTGAAGTGATTGACCTGATGAGATTTTGTTCACAACATTCTACAACCCTTGCTATGAAAGCCATGCCATCGAACGTGCACAGGATCAGGATAGTTTGAGAGTCTTAAAATGCAAAAATCGGATACCAGGATAAACACTCATAAACAATCCATCAAAAAATAGAAGTTATTTGAAACTAAACAAGAAATACATGCAATCAAATGTATTTGTCTATGTGCAACCGCTTTACGCTGAGTTGAGCGAAGTCGAGAACGCGGCAACTCAGCAAGCGAGAGGAATTGCTGTAGCTCTTTGAGTTTCAACCTTCGAGACAATCACCTGGCTGGGAATGTGGATACGTTACGGTTGGAGTTCAAGAAAGAGCCTCCCACCATCAAACCAACACAACACATATGTCTTCGGGTTGAGGGCAGACATCGACTGCCTTTTGTTTCTACTATTTTGACTGTACCTCAGGTCAAAAATATCCGCCTGGTCTCAGACTTCAACAAGCGCGGCGCAGTAGTAGATCAGACGCTTCCCATGAACTAGCGTTGAATAGTTTGATGCAGTGCGGGGCAGTCCAAAGTGAAATCTGAGATCATGTGAGCACGTGAGCGCATGTGTGCACATCTAAGGTTTGAGCAGCATGTCAAGGCATTTCGCACCGCGACACGACACGTAGGCTCGAAACAGCTCGATGTGTTGGAGCATTGTTTGATCTGCCCTTGTCCTTGTGAATCTAGACCAATGATTGGCAAGAGTGTGAAGACATGTCAAGATTGAGGTGTTCAAGAGCACTGCGGATCAGACGTTGATCTACCAAAGCAGTTGTCGCTTGAAATGTTGTGCATCAGACATACGGTGGGCACTGCATCAGTTACAGAGTGCCCAGAGTGCCCAGAGTGCCCTGATAGGACAGCTGACTTTCAACAATCGCTCCTTCTGCAAATGGCTCAGCGAGTTGTTGATCACTTTTTGGACTCTTGGCTGCTTGAGCTCGGAGTTCTCAGAGTAGGTAGTGTATGGATGTGTATGGCATGACTCCATGACCCAGACTGGCAAGGGTTGCAGAAGAAGCGTAGGCCCTACGGCACAAGGATCCAGCAGCATGTCAGAATGGATGCCATCTTGAGGGCTTGCGGAGCGCGCTCAGGTTTGGCTTCGCTGGGCTGGAGGTCATTAGTGGCAACCTTTCGCTGGGACTTTTTTTGCAGCTTGGCTTCCGAGAGAGCCAATATTGTGAACAGATGTGAACAGGAAGGTTGCCAGGAAGCCTCTCCCCAACGATAATTTGAGGATCAAATGCCAAAACTGCCCAAACCACAGCGCCTTCTTGATGAGCTGGATCATGTTCATGAATGAGTCGGTTTGGATGTAAAATGATGTAAAGAATTGTTTCTTTGAAAAATGCATGTTTCGCTGTGGTGCCAGGCACATCTTGAAGTCTTTACATCGTTGTGCTTTGATGCTAATATTCAGCATGTGCTCAAGATGTTTATCAAACTCCTAACCATCTCAACTTCCATTTTTTGCAAACATACATGTTGGAAACAATCCTCACAGGGGATTGCGCGTTTGTATCTTTCTCAATTTCGCCCGTTTTCAGTGGGCCAAGTTGTATCTACATATGCCTTGCTGGGATGCCTTGTGCCCACAACACCCAAGTACAAGAAAAGAGTCGTCAGCGTAGCATCACCTAAGCCTGCAGGTACACATGAAAAGTCGTCAGCGTAGCATCGCCTAAGCCCGCAGGTACACATGAAAAGTCGTCAGCGTAGCATCATCTGAGCCTGCAGGTGCACATGAAGAGACGTCAGCGTAGCATCATCCAGTCGGGCATCAATTTTGCATTTTTGGGCACCGCTTTTGGCCAGTCGGGATCCAGTCGGGATCCAGTCGGGCACCAATGTCGGGAGGCAGCCAAATTCATTTAAAAACATGATTTTTGTAGGGTTTTGGCACGTTTTTGGGTGATTTTAGCTGCTTCCCGACAGGTCCAAACGTGGTGCCAAAAACTCGAAAATTGGTGCCCGACTACATCCCGACTGAATCCCGACTGGTTTTCTTCAAAAAAACACCTATTTCCAAAAAATTGAGCACCTATTTCTCAAATTTTAGCACCTTGCCGTGCACCACACCCCCCGTCTCCCGACCCCACCCCCACCAGTCTTGAGCCAAATAGGGGCAACTCAAAGCCCGCAGGTGCACATGAAGAGACCTCAGCGTAGCACCATCTGAGCCTGCAGGTACACATGAAGAGTCGCCAGCGTAGCTTCATCTGAGCCTGCAGATATACATGAAGAGTCGTCAGCGTAGAGTCATCAGCGTAGCATCATCTGAGCCTGCAGGTGCACATGAAGAGCCGTCAGCGTAGCATCATCTGAGCCCGCAGATGCACATGAAGAGTCGTCAGCGCAGCATCATTTGAGCCTGCAAGTACGCATGAAGAATCATCAGGGTAGCATCATCTGAGCCTACAGGTACACATGAACATGAAGAGTCATCAGCATAGCATCACCTTAGCCTGCAGGTACACATGAAGAGTTGTAGCGTAGCATCCTCTGAGCCTGCAGGTACACATGAAGAGTTGTCAGCATAGCATCGTCTGAGCATGCAGGTACACATGAAGAGTCGTCAGCGTAGCATCATCTGAGCCTGCAGGTACACATGAAGAGTCGTCAGCGTAGCATCTTCTGAGCCTGCAGGTACACATGAGGAGTCGTCAGCGCAGCATCATGTGAGCCTGCAGGTACACATGAGGAGTCGTCAGCGTAGCATCTTCTGAGCCTGCAGGTGCACATGGAGAGTTGTAGCGCAGCATCCTCTGAGCCTGCAGGTGCACATGAAGAGTCGTCAGCGTAGCATCATCTGAGCTTGCAGGTACACAGTACACATGAGGAGTCGTCAGCGTAGAATCATCTGAGCCTGCAGGTACACAGAAAGAGTCGTCAGCGTAGCATCATCTGAGCCTGCAGGTACACATGAAGAGTCGTCAGCGTAGCATCATCTGAGCCTGCAGGTACACGTGAAGAGTCGTCAGCGTAGCATCATCTGAGCCTGCAGGTACACATGAAGAGTTGTATCGTAGCATCATCTGAGCCTGCAGGTGCACATGAAGAGTCGTCAGCGTAGCATCATCTGAGCATGCAGGTGCACATGAAGAGTTGTAGCGTAGCATCCTCTGAGCCTGCAGGTACACATGAAGAGTCTTCAGTGTAGTATCATCTGAGCCTGCAGGTGCGCATGAAGAGTCGGTAGCGTAGCATCATCTGAGCCTGCAGGTACACATGAAGAGTCGTCAGCGTAGCATCATCTGAGCCTGCAGGTACACATGAAGAGTTGTGGCGTAGCATCATCTGCGCCTGCAGGTGCACATCAAGAGTCATCAGCGTCGCAACAGCTGAGCCTGCAGATACACATGAAGAGTTGTGGCGTAGCATCGTCTGGGCTTGCAGGTGCGTATAAAGAGTCGGTAGCGTAGCATCATCTGAGCCTGCAGGTACACATGTAGAGTCGTCAGCGTAGCATCTTCTGAGCCTGCAGGTGCACATGAAGAGTCGTCAGCGTAGCATCATCTGAGCCTGCAGGTGCACATGAAGAGTCTTCAGCGTATAGCACCATCTGAGCCTGTAGGTGCACATGAGGAGTCGTCAGCGTAGCATCATGTGAGCCTGCAGGTGCACTTCAAGAGTCGTCAGCGTAGCATCATCTGAGCATGCAGGTGCACATGAAGAGTGGTCAGCGTTGCATCATCTGATCCTGCAGGTGCACATGAAGAGCCGTCAGCGTAGCATCATCTGAGCCTGCAGGTGCACATGAAGAGCCGTCAGCGTAGCATCATCTGAGCCTGCAGGTGCACATGACGAGTCGTCAGCGTAGCATCATCTGAGCCTGCAGGTGCACATGAAGAGCCGTCAGCGTAGCATCATCTGAGCCTGCAGGTGCACATGAAGAGTCGTCAGCGTAGCATCATCTAAGCCTGCAGGTTCACATAAAGAGTCATCAGCATAGCATCATCTGAGCCTGCAGGTACACATGAAGAGTCGGCAGCGTAGCATCATCTGAGCCTGCAGGTGCACATGAAGAGTCGTCAGCGTAGCATCACCTGAGCCTGCGGGTACACATGAAGAGTTGTAGCGTAGCATCCTCTGAGCATGCAGGTACACATGAAGAGTCTTCAGTGTAGTATCATCTGAGCCTGCAGGTGCGCATGAAGAGTCGGTAGCGTAGCATCATCTGAGCCTGCAGGTGCACATGAAGAGTCGTCAGCGTAGCATCATCTGAGCCTGCAGGTACACATGAAAAGTCGTCAGCGTAGCATCATCTGAGCCTGCAGGTACACATGAGGAGTCGTCAGCGTAGCATCATCTGAGCCTGCAGGTGCACACGAAGAGTTGTAACCTAGCATCATCCGAACTGCAGGTACACATGAAGGGTCGTCAGCGTAGCATCATCTGAGCCTGCAGGTACAAATCAAGAGTCGTTAGCGTAGCAACATCTGAGCCTGCAGGTACAAATGAAGAGTCGTTAGCGTAGCCTCATTTGAGTCTGCAAGTGCAACCGGAGAGTCGTCAGCGTAGCATCATCTGAATCTGCAGGTACACATGAAGAGTTGTAGCGTAGCATCATCTGAGCCTGCAGGTACATATGAAGAGTTGTAGCGTAGCATCATCTGAACCTGCAAGCACACATGGTGAATTGTAAGGGCAGCATCACACGAGAAAATCGTTAGCGTAGCATCATAGCTCTATGCAAATGCAGCAGACCGTTTTTACAACCCCCCACCCCGCCCCACTAGCCACCCGTACAAACCAAATGACATTTGGGCAACCCCCCCTCGGCGTCTACCCTTATGAGAATTTGGGAGCCACAGGCTGGGGCTCACAAGAACATTGTTTCCAAAAATCATCACTTTGGTTATCACCAAACTTATCTTCAAAATCTTCATCTGTTTGGCTAGCTTTATTTCTGTATCATGTGGGTCATCCTAATAAACATCACCAGCAAATCAGGCTCACCACACAAATATCTAAGTCACCGCTCGTTCTAATCCGATTATTTTGCATTTTCACTGGAACCTACCAAGGGCCCAAAAAGCTTCCTATGTTAGAAACTTCCGCTACCGTCACCGGGCAACCGTGATGCGCGCTGCATGATACTGCCTCCATCGCAACTCCCGCAAAGCCGGAACGCAATTTCGCAGTGACGACCGCGATTGTGCCAGTGACGACGGCGATTGCGCAGTCGAAAAAAATGAAAATACGTTTGGGAATCGAAAAAAAACGCTGAAAACAAGGGAAAAAACTCGAGTTTTTTTTTAAAAACGTTTTTTTGATTTTTTCAAGATTGGCTAAAAATCGGCAATTTTGGTGGCCTCCGCGCCTCTCTGGGGGGGACGGCCCGGAACCCCCAAAATGGAAACTTCAAGAACCTCCGCAAGGGAAACTGGGGCTGCCAGAAGTTCCAAAATGGAATCTTTGGGAAGCCCCAGCAAATTTGGTGATGATTTTGGTGATAAGTAAAATGATAATAAATCGACAAAAATAAATAATTTTGGATTTCCAACGTGTGGCTGGTTAAAATTGTCATAAGTCTACCCAAGGTGTTGCATAATCTGCTTGAACGGGGTCAAGGGTGCTGTCCAAACCACAGTTTGATGCGGGCGGATCTAGTGGCAAGTCCAAACATCCAAGGTGTGACATTCAGATCTTCCAAACCATGGAGGAGGTCACCAACCAAATATACGACATCTTCGTCGAAATTCAGCCCCTCGTTTTGCATGAGGAAACCTTCACGTCCCGATGCTGCGAGCAGGCAGAGAGTGCGAAAACTGTGTTTGAATCCTTGTGGTCCAAGTGGCGTCGAGCGATGCCTCCATGTCAAGATGAGTTGCATTTATGCTGCATGCCTGGGCTATGGTGCTTTCAACTGGAGAAATCGTTATTACACGTGATTACTTTTTTTCTCGCGCCCTGTTCAGCAGTGTTCCTATGTACTGCTTACCGACACACGTTTCAGGAAAAATCCTCCAGATTTCTCCAGATAGCGCGCGGCACACTTGCAAGTCACAACTGGCTTGTTTCGGATCTATCCAAGGATGATTGCGCCGTCAATGTACCGGATGGTGGAAGCTTGCTTGCAATAGGCTGAAGAGCTTAGTCTTTCCTGGTGGATCGCAGCGAAGCAGGGGTGCGGCATAGGCTGCCGTCCCCTTATGCAGGTAAAGTCAGTGCGAATCGATATGGATTGTTATGACTCCGACAATTTTGAAACACGTGTGCGCAAGAATGTGCAAAAACCATAGAAGTGATGGTCTTGACCTGGGTCTTGACTTTGAAACACAGGTCCTGTGCATTTGTTTTCAGGAGCTGTTGAATCTGCCCACTGACCTCCACGAAAGAAAGAAAATGCAGCACCTGAATTGCAAAGAGCTGGTTCGGTTAAACTGGCTTCTAGAGCCAAAAGAATACAGTTGAGTTAAACTGAAAGTTCCTACATTGATTGAGTTGTTCTGTCAGTTTAAACCGCACGCACCCATCTCGAACGAAGTGGGTCATGACCCATGACCTTTCAGCTTCCATCATGTTCAAAACCATTTGATTGACCAGAACGGCGTTTGCGAAGAAATGTCAATGATTGTCAAAGCTGCTGAGCCAGTAGCTCCCCAATGCAAAGCTTTTGTATTTAAATTATGTATTCAGATTGCAAGATGCAAAGTGTTGTTCGCTGGGAACTTGCTGCAGCTTCCGTACTTAATCTGGGCTGTACTGCGACTGTATGCCCAGCGCTTCATTCATTGGAGTTGGAGTGTGGTTTCATTAGCTGCTGCTTTCGTACTGGCTCTTGCTCCGCCAATTGTCGGAAAGGTGGCAATCTCCATCTCCATGTAGAAATCAAGGGCGTCCTTTGCAGTTTCTGATCGTTTTCTTGAATTCCTTTATCGCTAGGGACATTCGATTTAGATTCATCAGATTCATTTACACGTCCATAGCATTCTGTAGATTTCTGCAGTTTTACCGATTTAACTTTCTACATTGATACTTAGGATATTTTTTGATTTTTGCAGCTTGCAGCCACATCACATAGTTCTGAAGTGTGTATCCAAATTTTGTATCTGTCAAGTATCATTGTCATCAACCCCTCGCCGCCCCCGCTGCCCAAAGCTGTTCTCTACTTCATCCCTCGAATCATCCTGACCCTAGGTCGCGGCCTGAAGACCTTTGGGTGCTGGATTTGGTTTCCAATCAGGGCTCAAGGGTCACGATTGGAAATATAAAGGTAGGAACTATTATAATAATATAATAGGCATTGCATTGATATGCTTTCTGTTTGATTCCCCAAGTTGTTCTAGCTGTCCCAAGCTGTCCAAGCTGTCCACAACCATGCTGAGGCCATCTATTTTTGCCTCTCCATCAGCTGCCTTGCGGCGCAGACGGCTTGCATGGGCGGGTGGGTGCCTGTCTCTAAGCCGCAGGTCCCTTTGTATTGTTGTTGATTTGCTTTGATTTGCATAACAATGGGTTATTTGATTCGTGGCTTGGCCGAGCAGAGACTTATTGTTAAAGTTAAAAGAGTTTGTCATTTTCATGATTGGGGAGTTTCATTCATTTCATTCCTGCAGCTGTCCAAGCAGTTCCAGCTGTACGAGCACTGTCACGCAGCAGATGCAGCGGTCATTCAAGGCGACGCGCCTGTGATTGAGGACGGCGACGACGAAGAGCCTGCAGAGCCTGCTCGAGATGACGGAGGTGATCAAATCGATCCGGCTGGAGGCACTGGAGATGATCAAACAGCAGCTGTCCCAGCCGTCCAAGCTGAAGGCCGGCTGGTGCCTGCAGGTGGCGAGAACGCGGTGTCCTGATCTATGCGGCAGGAGATCGCGGAGACGGTCATGGCTGCAGTAGGCAGCACGCCCTTTCACATGCGCATGGATGGCATGTTGCTGGAGCAGGTAGAGGTGCAGAAGCCAGGCGCCAGAAATCTTTCGTGAAAAGTACGATACCCAGCATGACTTCAGTTGGTTTCTTTTCGGGTGCAATACTTTGCTGAACAGCTTCTACGCGAATGGGGTCAAGAACTACGAGACCACCACCAGCATTTGCGCAGGTACTGGGGTGTCTAAACGTAAGTTATTTCTTTACCAAGATTAAATGTTGGACAGGATGAAGAATAAGAAAGTTTGCAGTTTGCAATTTGTGATTTTACGCCCAAAGCATTATACCCACTTTGCTTCAGGCTTTATGCTGCCAGCTTCCGAGCGGCACATCGTGGAAACTGCCCGGGATTTGCTTGCAAAGATCCCAGCGGGGGGAGGCATCTCCCAGAGGTTCATGGTCGTGACTTTGACCAGCGTTCATTCCGAACAGTTTTGATTTTATTGATTTGCCATGGTGGCTTGAGTCATGCCTTTTCCTATTTGGATAGAGCTTAGAGGGATTAAACGTGAAACTGCCAGAGCGAGTGATTGTTCTTTTCCGACCTTCCTTTGGCTGAGTTGTCGACCATCATCCGAGAGCACCTGGAACAGTTCGCCGAAGTGCATGAGGACAACGGCGTCATCACCTGTAATGCGCTGCTTTTCTCATGTGTGATGAATGGAGCAGCCCGAGGCTATAGATTGCCAGTGCCTAGCAAGGACTGGGAGAGCCTAAAGACATGGAAGTCCAGCTGTCCTAGCTGTCCTAGAATGATATGGAAGTTCTTGGTCACATAGTCACACGTTTCAACTAAAATCTAGTTTGTTAGAACAGAACGTCGTCTAATTTTCCAAATTCTGCAGCACATGTCATGGTCCCGGTGGGCGCTTCCATGTGGCAATGACGGCAAGCTCATGCCGGTTGGCCTCTACGCCAGTGACGTCCAACTTGGGGGGGGGGGCAGCGCGATTGTTTCAGAAGCTTGGATGCCAATCTCTCTGATCAGAACCAGGTGGTCATGGCCGTCGAGGACAGGAACAAGCTGGCATGCCTCAGCAGGCGTGCGGGATTCTTGTACGTCCTCACCTATCGAGCTGCTGACGTGGCCCAGCGGAAGTTCGAAGGCACCCCGCAATGGATTCTGCAGGCTGGATGAAGTTTAAATTGGATTAATTAGGAACCATCTATGTGTAGGCTAGCAGTAGCACAAATTATGTTCACATAAATTGCACACACACACATACATGATATGATATGTAAGTAAACATGTACAGAATAAGAGTGTGCGTGTGGGGGGTTATTTTTTGCAATTAATTATTTTACTATTCAAAACTATGCCATGTGTGTGTGTGTGTAACTCCCTAACTTAGTCCTTAGCGATCTGTTTCCGGGTTTCAAACATCGCTGCTTGCCTGCAAGGGCGAGTGCTTCAAGGATGACTTCGACGGGACAAGTGGACCCCCGGGTCACGAGCAGCCTGCACCATCCAGTGGGTTGGGGAGGGCCCTGATGACTTCAACCTTTTGTGGGATGGCGTGCAAGTTGTAGCTTGGATTTGACTTCAGCAAAAATTTCTTATGCCATCTTATGCCCATGATATGCGTTTCATGAGCGCATGCTTTCCCTGTGCCTTTGAAGACCCTGGTATGGTTTTTGGAAAATTACGAAAACTTGCTTCAGGAGAGAGCACTTGTGGCCGCAAAGACGGCAACGTCCATGGTGCTTGCACTTCGGTTGACCCGGTGGGAAGATTCGAAAGGGCGGCCTTGGACTGTCACATTGGCCAGATGCTCTTCGATCCCTGATGGTGTGTAGATGGCGATCGCACAGTCGAACGTCCATGCGTACAAATATTGTCGCCAGACCTACAAGAACACAAATGACATGGAGTTTGCCAGCTTGCCCAATACGCACATCGCACCTGGCAAGTTTTCCACTTCTCGCCCACCATCGCGCTTTGGGCAGGAGCCGCTGGAGCCTCAGCAGCAGCAGCAGCAGCCGCCGCTTTCCCCCAGCGATGACAGCCGTGGATGATGGGCGGGGCGGAACCATGTTTGCGCCGACAGCCCCACTTCGCCCCGCCATGCCCGCTTTTCAGCTGGGGTCAGCAGACTTGGCAGCAACAGCCGTCCCAGCCGTCACAGCCGTCCCACTCGTTGCAGCAGGGAGAGGGCGGACAGGGCCAGCGGTGCAACCAGGGGCAGAAGCAAGGGCAGAACCAGGGGCAGAATCAGGGCTGGCAGCTGCAAAAGGAAGGCAGCGATGCGAAGAGTTGCTGAGGGACAGTGCCAAAAGCTCGCAACGCTTCTGCACTTTTTCCTTATAAAACGGCACAGCAAGGTGAAGAAAGGCGCCAGCAAACAAAATTCCAACATGAAATGCAACGCATTGCAAAAGCTTAGGCAACATTGACACAGTCTGAGAAGAACAACTACAAGGAAAAAAGCAGATCGGAGTTCATGGCGCAAAGAGACGCCATGAAAAGCCATGGCCTGCCCACTTGGCGCATGCAGAATGCCACGGCCGTCTCAGCTGTCCCAGCTATCCACGCAACCTGTGGAAGAGCAGGACCAGGCGCTCCTCAGATTTGGGAAGATCACGGTGGTGAAGGCTCTTACGGGACTGTGCTGAAAGGCCTGATGCCCTACGGCCGCTTCTGCGCCCTGAAGATCTTCAAGGGCAGCAAAGCTATGATCTCCTTGAAGCAAAAGGTTCTGATTTTTAATGAAATACAAGCTTCAGGAAGAAACGCGGCAACTTTTTCCTTCCTTGCTGGAAAGCGAATGCAAACCGCAGCTGTTCCCCTACTTGGCTTTCGAGTTTGCTGGGTCAAGCGTGTTCCAGGTGCTCATCCAAACTGGTGCTTTGACTGGACGCGCACTGCAGCGCCTAGCCACGCAGCTTAAAGCTGTCCTGCAAGTTTTGCACAGCATCCACATCCTTCATTTGGATCTCAAACAAACCGGCCAACATTCTGTGGGCCCAGGAATGCCCAGGAGACTTCATGCATGAAACTCGCGGATTTGGGAATGTCTGAGATGATGGGGATTGAAGCTGCCTCGATAAGGTTCGATGCATATTTTAGTGCTCCTTATAGACCACTTGAGCTGTGGAACACATCTTCCGGAGACATTTGCAAGCACTTGCGTCCCTGTGTCAACATTTGCTCATTTGGCTGCGTGCTTTTTGAATGTGCTGCAGCATCCCCTCCATGGCACCTCTTCCTCCAGCTCGCAGCTACAATCATACCGTGAATGCGTGGTGCGGCTCATGGGACAGCTTGCACGGATGATGACGGAGCCAGCTGCTCGAAGATTGCAGACTCAGTTGTTGAGGTCTGGACTATGGAGAGAACGTGTTTTAGAATGTTTGAATCCTGACCCTGCTTCTCGAAGATGTAGCGGGCCAACACATTGAATGGAGCCAGTCGCTGCTATGCCTTGCGTAATGTTCATGAGCAGGGTTGCTTCCCAACTTGTTTCGAAGCGGGGTGTTCGGATTGGGAAGCCCCGGGTTCACTCATGATGGTTGAAAGAGCTTAGCCGTAATTAGCAGCCGTGCCGCCTGTGCTAGCGACAGAGCCCAGACAACTTAACGTCCAAAAATACGCAGCTGCCGCGCATTGTGATTAATCCGCCCATGCTTGATTTTGGTATGAGCGCATCAGCCTTCTGCTTGCCAAGGTGGGTCTTCAAGTGTAGCAGCTGCAGCGGCGGCTACAAACTCATGCATGGAAGGCGCACACACCGAAAAGAGCGTTTTCTACTCGTTGCTGTGGATGACGGTGGTTAACGGTTAAGGGGTTAAATATTGGTAAATTTTTCCACTCCCTGAGTATTTTTCGGCACCGTTGAATTGCCAACATAGCTTTAACTTTCAAGTTTCGACTAGATATTATGTGCACATCAGGGGGGGCGGCTTTTCCAGCACGAGGCTCAGCAATGAACCTTGCTCATGTCGTCCTGGCCCCATGCCTTCTAAGGGACCACTTACGAGAGGCCACTGCTTACATGCGGGAACGGGTCGTGAAGAAGCGAGCAGACGATGTTGCTTGGTCCATCACTGGGTGATCACAGGAGGGGCTGGGCAGAGGGAAAGATGGCCCATGCCAGATCCAATGATGCCGTGTTCAATGATGAAGTGCTTAGCTCAGGTTCGCATGGATTTGCTACCGATCACGCCTCTTAGCTGAACAATGCCAGGCGGTAAGAGACCTTTTGAAACCGTGTGGCGCAAACAGCCTTCGCATATGAGTTGAAAGCCAACGTCCTTCCACTTTCCATTCCAATCAGACATTTTGCAAGGTTGGAGGACCCCAGTGTTACCTACATTTTGCGGAATCTTCGCGCAGGACTACTGTTGTGTGATTGAAACACTTTATTTATGTGTAAAGTGCGCCACACACACGCACGCGCCCACACACACACACACTAACACACTAGCCGCAACTTCTTTAACAGGCACTGAACGATCTGAACGGCTTCACTTGTCCACTTTCCCGCGTCAAGTTTCAGATGTTTCTGGTTCTTGGTTCCTAACATTGGGTTCCAGGACCTACCTTGTTGAATCAAATACAAGTGCAGTGCAAAGGCAGGATAGTGGTGGATCAGGGGACGCATCTGGGCAAAAAATCGGACAAACTTTTTGATTGTTGCTTTCGCCTGGAATTATTGGCGGCCGTTTTGGTCATTCTGACCTTACATGGGCTAGCCCAGATGAGGTATGTGGCTCTTGTAGGGCAAGTAAACTGTGGCAAAGCGACGCGTTTGCGATCTCTTGGTGGGGCAGTTCTTCCCGACAATTTCGACTACTCGTCAGCAAAGCCAAGCAAGTTTTCATAAGTCATGTCATAGATGATGTTTGATGTGTGTTGTGTATTGTTTTGCTTTGTATTCTTTCACCTTTCACTTTCCGTTCAGTGCAGCAATTATGTTTCTTTGCCCCTTTCATCGAGGACAGCATGTTCATTCCTTCACATCTTCGGGTCTTGCATATTGTCAACGACCCAAAGTTCTTCCCAGGAACGTGACTCGTTTGAATCGAAAAGTGAAGGGCTGGACGCTCTTGTGGAGCCAGGTTATTTTATGAATAAGACTGGTTGGCTTGGCAGCATATTGTTTTTCTTGATCCAACACCCTTAGGGACTTCCAGACCAGCCTTTTTCCTATAACCAAGTAAATGATGGTAAATGTGTCTGTATCTGTTTTTTGCCTCATCATGCTCGCAAGACAACATCCACCCACCCATGCACCCAGCCACCCACCCAGCTACCCTACCCACCCACACACACATAAAACATCATAAAGCTGCACCCACGCACACACTGACACTCACACCGCCTGCCCGCCTGCCCGCCCGGCCGACCGGTTGCCCGGCCGCCCGCCCGCCCGCTCGCCCGCCCGCCCGCTCTTACACTTCAACACATGGACCGTTCCCGCTCAGAAAGTGCGTTTTTCCCCACCTGCCAGGTGAGGGTTGTTAGATTTTATGTCAGTTGCCTCCTCCTCCTGCTCCTCCTGCTCCTCCTCCTCCTCCTGCTCCTCCTCCTCCTCCGCCTCCTCCTGCCTCGTCCTCCTCCTCCTCGTCCTCCTTGTCATCCTTGTCGTCCTTGCTCAACTGCGACCCGCGATCCACAGTGTTCTCTGCCGGACCTCAACCACGACCACCCACGCCCAGTGTTCCCTGCCGGACCTCAACCACGACCATCCGCGCCCAGTGTTCCCTGCCGGACCTCAACCACGACCATCCACGCCCAGTGTTCCCTGCCGGACCTCAACCACGACCATCCGCGCCCAGTGTTCCCTGCCGGACCTCAACCGCGACCATCCGCGCCCAGTGTTCCCTGCCGGACCTCATGTAGGAAGATAAAATGTCAGATAGAGTGCCAGAAGATTTGCCAGGTAGAATGCCAGAAAATATGCCAGAAGATATGCCAGATAGATATGCCAGAAGATATGTCAGAAGATATGCCAGATAGAATGCCAGATAGAATGCCAGATAGAATGCCAGAAGATATGTCAGAATATATGCCAGAAGATATGCCAGATAGAATGCCAGAAGATATGTCAGATAGAATGCCAGAAGATATGCCAGATAGAATGCCAGAAGATTTGCCAGATAGAATGCCAGAAGATATGCCAGAAGATATGCCAGATAGAATGCCAAATAGAATGTCACAAGATATGTCAGATAGAATGCCAGAAGATGTGCCAGTAAGAACATGTATAAATGTCATGGTGGGGATCACACGAAGTAAAGTAATTTTTTCTCCCTCGTCCCTGCTTTTATAAGATTGATTGCAAACAAAGGACCTGCAATAGTTTCGCAGAAAGTAAATATATAAGCCATTTCGAGCTTGAGGGGTTTGGAAACATGGCATCCCATCAACAGTTCCTTTTCGACCCAGCAAGGCTTTCATTTGCCAAATGCAAAGCTTCCAACAAGAGAAGGCATTATATTCGGGTTGAATATATATATATATATATATGTGCTTCCCTTTCGAAAGGGCATTTCCCAAAGGAGATGTGTGCACAGTTCGGTGCGAACTGTGCACACAATTCACGATGCTGAGGAGGGCAGTGTTGCAAAGGGCAATCATATTTTGACCAAGCACGCGCAGAAGTAGGAGAAGCCACACCACAATAATCGTACATACCATCACTCTCACCCTTTTGTGAATGGTGCAAAAAGTGCGATGGTTCAAGAATCAAGCCCATCTACTCCTCATAGGACGCGTGGCAGCATAGTGCGACAATTTATAGGAGAAAAGATGCATCGTTTCTAGATTCACATGAGAAAATGCAAGAACCCTTGCCATAGACTGTTGTTTCTTGCTCACCAGAGTTGACCATTGATATCCGAAAGTGGAACACCCTGCTAAAAGTGCCACGTCATCAACGCAGACGTTTTTGCTTTAGTTGAGAGAGCGCAGTATTCCAGAACGGAAGCGCATTGTTCTGTATGGACTTCTTGTCTACGATGGACATGTTCTCTTGCGACTGTGCTTTTCCCGGCAGGAAGCATCGGAGAGCAATATTAAAATGAGAAGTCGAACGGGCAAGTGTTGCCCCCCCCACCGACAAACACAAACTGCTGTAAATGAAGCGACACATTTTGTCAGAAAATGAATGCTGCTGCAATGATGTGAAACATGCACACGCACGCATGCGCAGCAAAAATGTGACGATTTCCCTCAACAACTGCCATGAATTGGTGCGCAAGTAAAGAGGATGCGCCGAAACCCAAACAAATTTCAAAAAGTCACCGGAAAAAGGAGAAAACATTCATGTCCAAAAAATTGAACATGCAAAAGCATGCTTTCCAGACTCCTGACTGAGACCCCAGAGTTCTAAAGGCTCCTTTTGTTGCGTTCTTTTTCTTTTCTGATGGTGTGAAGTGGAACCTTGAAGCCCTAGTTGATGGGAAGGCCTTGGGAGCACAATGCCAAGGTGCCGCTCTAGATTCTAGATCCATTGCGGGGCACCGTGTGCTGTGTCTCTGTGTCTCTGTGTCTGTGTGTCTGTCTGTCTGTGTGTCTGTGTGTCTGTGTCTCTGTGTCTATGTCTCTGTGTCTCTGTGCCTCTGTGTCTCTATGTCTCTATGCCGCTGTGTCTCTGTGTCTCTTTGCCTCTTTGCTTCTGTGTCTCTTTGTCTCTTTGTCTCGGTGTCTCTGTGTCTCTTTGTGCCTCTTTGCCTCTTTGTCTCTTTTTCTCTGTGCCTCTTTGTCTCTTTGTCCCTTTCTCTCTTTGTCTCTGTGCCTCTTTGCCTCTATGTCTCTTTGTCTCTGTGCCTCTTTGCCTCTTTGTCTCTTTGTCTCTGTGGCTCTTTGCCTCTTTGCCTCTTTGTCTCTTTGTCTCTGTGTCTCTTTGCCTCTTTGTCTCCTCGTCTCTGTGCCTCTTTGTCTCTTTGTCTCTTTGTCTCTGTGTCTCTGTGTCTATGTCTCTTTGCCTCTTTGTCTCTGTGTCTCTGTGACTCTTTGTCTCTTTAACTCTTTGTCTCTGCGTCTTTGTGTCTCTCTGTCTGTGTGTCTCTGTGTCTCTTTGCCTCTTTGCCTCTTTGCCTCTTTGTCGCTTTGTCTCTGTGTTTCTTTGCCTCTTTATCTCTGTGTCTCTTTGCCTCTGTGTCTCTTCGTCTCTGTGTCTCTATGTCTCTCTGCCTCTTTGTCTCTGTGTCTCTTTGCCTCTTTGTCTCTTTGTCTCGGCGTCTCTGTGTCTCTTTGTGCCTCTTTGCCTCTTTGTTTTTTCTTTTTGCCTCTTTAGCTCTTTGTCTCTTTGTCTCTTTGTCTCTGTGTCTTTGTGTCTTTCTGTCTCTCTGTCTGTGTTGCTCTTTGTCTCTTTGTCTCTGTGTCTCTTTGCCTCTGTGTCTATGTCTCTTTGTCTCTGTGTCTCTTTGTCTCTGTGTCTCTTTGTGCCTCGTTGTCTCTTTGTCTTTGTGCCTCTTTGTCTCATTGTCTCTGTGTCTGTCTCTTTGTCTCTGTGCCTCTTTGTCTCTTTGTCTCTTTGTCTCTGTCTCTATGTCTCTATGTCTCTGTGCCTCTTTGTCTCTGTGTCTCTTTGCCTCTTTGTCTCTTTGTCTCTGTGGATCTTTGTCTCTTTGTCTCGTTGTCTCTGTACCTCTTTGTCTCTGTACCTCTTTGTCTCTGTGTCTCTTTGCCTCTTTGTCTCTGTGTCTCTGTGACTCTTTATCTCTAAGTCTTTGTCTCTTTGTCTCTGCTTCTTTGTGTCTCTCTGTCTGTGTGTCTCTGTGTCTCTTTGCCTCTTTGCCTCTTTGTCTCTTTGTCTCTGTGTTTCTCTGCCTCTTTGTCTCTGTGTCTCTTTGCCTCTGTGTCTCTTTGTTTCTGTGTCTCTTTGTCTCTGTGTCTCTTTGCCTCTGTGTCTATGTCTCTTTGTCTCTGTGTCTCTGTGACTTTGTGTCTCTTTAACTCTTTGTCTCTGTGTCTCTGTGTCTCTTTGCCTCTTTGCCTCTTTGTCTCTGTGTCTCTTTGTCTCTGTGTCTCTTTGCCTCTTTGTCTCTGTGGCTCTTTGCCCCTTTGTCTATTTGTTTCTGTGCCTCTTTGCCTCTTTGTCTCTTTGTCTCTGTGTCTCTTTGTGCCTCTTGTCTCTTTGTCTGTTTGTCTCTTTGTCTCTGTGTCTGGGTCTCTTTGTCTCTGTGTGTCTGTGTCTCTGTGTGTCTTTGTCTCTGTGTCTCTGTGTGTGCGTGTGTCTGTTTAAAGATGGGACGGGGAAAAACCCATGGGCATTTGAGGTGTGCAACACCATCAACCCTGCTGAGGCTGATGGAGAACTTGTGCTTTGGCGTTGCGCCAGGTGATCCTGATGGGCCAGGGCCTCAGGGGTCCTAATTGTTTTTTCAAGTCAAGATGAGTCACCTCAACTTTATTTGTGTTGCGGTGCCCTGTCAGCAACGATGTTGGGGTGCTACCTTAAGAGCCTGCTCTGAACGGAAGAACATTCAGAGCAAGAGCTGCATTTTTTTCAGCAATTGTTTGTCCTAACACGATGTTGAAGCAACCTGAAATAAGAGGGTTGATTTGCAGCCAGACATGGGCGAGAAGGCGCTCTTTGGAAATTGACGAAAACGGGAACACATCCATTCTACACTCAGATCACTAAGGTCTGAGGAACGTGTCCGTTTGATTTGCAAGCTCCTGGAGATGCCCAAGGTCAAAGACAAGAGCGACAAACACTGACTGGAAATGACTAATTAAAACGCGTTGGAAACGCACATTTTGCAAGCTATCTGCAACTTGTCGACGGAGTTGGTCAAACAGATTTGCTGAAAATTAGCACAATGCTGAGCAACCATTCCCGGGTTCCCCGAATTCAACCCACCTGGATCAGTGAGAGTTTCTGCAAAAAAATATCTGAAAGATATGGAAGCGCGGACAGGATGTTATGAACTTGATCGAGCAGAATGACGTGTTGGAATGGGATCGTGCATGTTCCGCATCGGAAAAGCAGAGCCTTAACTCTTTTTGAGAGCAATCCACCTGCACCTCACCATCCTTTCAAGACCGATCCTGACCCACTTGATGCATCTAGATGCCATTTGTGAGCACAGGAGAAAGAAGTTTGCTGAAATCGAATGGATTCACTCAGTTGCATGTGGCCAGCCAAGGAAACTTTCTTTGGCCAGGGCAGTGGGGGCCTTGAAGACTGCTGGATGCAGTACCGCAATCACTAACCATCAGAGTGGCTCAAACACAGCAGTTCTATATTTATAAATAAATATATATATAACTAGACGACGGTTGGCCCGAGGACGGTTGGCCCGAGAGCGAAAAAGATGTTTCTAAAGCAGCTCTGAGGATGGTGAATTTTATGTGAGCTATGGAAAGATATGGTGTGAAAAAGTAAGATTGATTAAGAAGAGGAGACTTGGTAAAGGGCATCAGATGACACGTGTCTTGCAACCACAGAGAGAAAGAGGGAGGGGAGAGAGAGAGAGAGAGAAGGAAAGGGGAGTAGAAAGAAAACATGGAGAAATATAATGTGAGCAACAAAAATGCACAGGAGGCTCGGTACCATGATGCTGCGAACGACATGTGTTATCTCATTTTAATGGTAATTCCTACACACATTGCTGAAAAAGCTCGGCACCATCATTCCGTGGATGTGAAGAAACGCGACGCTTTTATACAGAGACGCTTTTATACAGAGACGCTTTTACACACAGACGCTTTTACACACAGACACTTTTACACACACACAGACGCTTTCACACAGAGACGCTTTTACACGCACAAAAACTTTTACACACAGACGCTTTTACACACGGACACTTTTACACACAGACCCTTTTACACACATATTGTTTTACACACAGACGCTTTTTCACAAACGCTTTTGCACACAGAAGCTTTTACACACAAACACTTTTACACACAGACACTTTTACACACACACACACGCTTTTACACGCAGACACTTTTACACACAAACGCTTTGACACAAAGACACTTTTACACAACAGAAACTTTTACACACAGACGCTTTTACACACAAAAGCTTTTACACACAGACGCTTTTACACATAAAAGCTTTTACACACAGACGCTTTTACACACAGAAGCTTTTACACACAGACACTTTTACACGCAGACCCTTTTACACAGGAGCTTTTACACACAGAAACTTTTACACACAGACGCTTTTACACAGACACTTTTCGAAGGAAGTTTAGAAGTGAAACTTCCGACAATATGGACAGTTGAAAAGCAGAGGTGAGAAGAGTCAGAAGAGACAAGATCAGAAGAAAGAAGATGCAGATGCGCGAAAAGATAGGAAAGTCGCGATTCACTGTGTTTTTTCCAATGATTTGTGGCTCCGGAGGGTCGACAAGTAGGCTCGCTAAAGCGGCGGGTGCGGAGCCAGCTGGCCAGATGAGACATGAAAAAGTGCACGCCGTTGTGGCGCGAAGCACATTTCCAAGTCAAAATGTACAAAACACCACATGTTCGCGCCACTTTTGGAGGTTCGGATGTTGGAAAAGTGCACGCCGTTGTGGCGCGAAGCACATTTCCAAGTCAAAATGTACAAAACACCAGGGGTTCGGACCACTTTTGGAGGTTGCGATGTCGAAAAAGTGCACGCCGTTGTGGCGCGAAGCCCATTTTCAAGTCAAAAGTGTTAAAAACTGACGGTCTCGGACCACTTTTGGAGGTTCAGATGTCGAAAAAGTGTCAAAAAAGTGCACGCCGTTGTGGCGCGAAGCACATTTCGAAGTCAAAAGTGAAAAAAACTGAGGGTTTTGAGCCTTTTTTGACGTGAAGATGTCGAAAAAGTAGACACTGATTAACTTAACTAACTTGACTAACTTCACTAACTTAACTATCCTAACTTCGACGACAACAGCAACAGCAACAGCAGCAACAACAACAACAACAACACCAACCACAACAACAACAACACCAACCACAACAACTACAACTACAACAACTACAACTACAACTACAACTCCAACAACTACACAACAACTACAACTAGAACTACAACTACAACAACAACAACAGCAACAACAACAGCAACAACTACAACAACTACAACTACAACTACACAACAACTACGACTAGAACTACAACTACAACAACTACAGCTACAACAACAACAACAACAACTACAACAACTACTACTACTACAACAGCATCCCTAACAACAACTACAACTACAACAACAACAACTACTACCACAACTACAACTACAACTACAACTACAACAACAACAACAACAACTACTACTACTACTACAAAACAACTACAGCTACAACTATATGACTGCAACTACACTACACTAATTACATTACACCACAACTACAACTCCACTACGCTACAACTACAACTACAGTTGCAGTACATCACACTACATCCAGCAGTTGTGGGTGCAACCATTGCAACCATTCCAGCAAACACAACTCCAACCACCTTTCGGTCAATCAGTGGATTCGCTCTGCCATCCGTGATTCACAACAATCAATCTCTCCTATAGGTTTCCTATTTTTGAAACTTCCGCCACCGCCTTGTGCGGTACTACTGGTACACAGAGCACACAGAAGCTTTTAAGCAGACGCTTTTACACAGACGCTTTTACACAGATGCTTTTACACACAGAAGCTTTGACACACAGCACACAGAAGCTTTGTACACACAGAAAAAATCGCAATTTTACCTCAGTTTTTGGCGATCGACCCTCATTGGCAAGTTGAAATCGCAATTTTACCTCAGTTTTTGACGATCGAACCTCATTTCGTGCGAAAGGGTTGCGCCGGACACCTTGAAATCGCAATTTTACCTCAGTTTTTGGCGATCGAACCTCATTTCGTGCCAAAGGGTTGCGCGGGACGACTCGAACTCGCACTTTTACCTCAGTTTTTGACGATCGAACATCATGTCGTGCGAAGGGGTTGCGTGGGACAAGTTGAAATCGCAATTTTACCGCAGTTTTTGGCGATCGAACCTCGTTTCGTGCGAAAGGGTTGCGCGGGACAAGTTGAAATCGCAATTTTACCTCAGTTTTTGGCGATCGAACCTCATTTCGTGCGAAAGGGTTGCGCGGGACAAGTTGAAATCGCAATTTTACCTCAGTTTTTGGCGATCGAACCTCGTTTCGTGCGAAAGGGTTGCGCGGGACAAGTTGAAATCGCAATTTTACCGCAGTTTTTGGTGATCGAACCTCGTTTCGTGCGAAAGGGTTGCGTTTCGTGCCGTCTCGCTGGCACTGCCCCTGCTCCTGACTTCAGAAGAGAAATATAAAAGAAGGAGAGGGCAAGAGGGCAAGAGGGCAAGAGGAGAAGATGTGAAGATGAGAAGATGTGAAGTGAGATGCGAAAATGTGAAGATGTGAAGATGGGGAGATGTGAAGATGAGAAGTTGTGAAGATGAGCAGATGTGAAGATGAGCAGATGTGAAGATGAGAAGATGTGAAGATGAGAAGATGTGAAGTGAGATGTGAAAATGTGAAGATGTGAAGATGAGGAGATGTGAAGATGAGAAGATGTGAAGATGAGAAGGTGTGAAGATGAGAAGATGTGAAGGTGTGAAGATGAGAAGATGTGAAGACGAGAAAATGTGAAGATGAGAAGATGAGAGACAGACCCCCACTATTGGAAGAACCCTGCGCTCAGACGCTCTCGGGAAAAAAGGAAATAAATAAATAAATAGATAAATAAGCATATAAATAGATAGATAAATAAACACATATGTAAATGAATGAATAAATCAATTTATACATATATATAATATTACTTACTATATATTTAAAAACTATATGCATGCAGGGTAAAGGCATCAGAGGTTTTCGCATGTTTCTTTCCATTGAACCATTGCATGTCCACTTGTATCTCATTTTGCCAACCATTTTTCGGCTGTCAGATTATCACAAATCCTGACGTGTGGCCTGGCTGCAAGTTCCAAATCTTTCGTGCCCTGCTGGATTCAAGTCAAGTCCCACACGTGACACAGGCAATTTTCAGGCAAATCCAGCTGCGTTGCAAGTGATGTTGGATGGTCATACGCTTCCCCACAATGTACTTTGACCAGAAAGAGCTTGGTGGCATTCCCAAACTTCCAGCCAGAAACGACCCGGCGGAGGGAATGATAGCATGCTCAGTCACCAAGGCTGGTCATCCACAGGCAAGGGGTGTGGTTGGCAGGGGGCCTTTGGCCCAGCACCTTTTTGCACTCGAGTTGTGTTAGAAGAGTACAGGTGCCTACAATATGGAACAGGTGTTTCCTAGTCGTAGTTTTTTAGGAATCAAGTTCCTTTGACTGCCAATATATTCATAAATACCTCCAAAGCAATGATACACAATTCTGCACGGGCTGGGAGGGCCCGGGGTTCCTTCAACTGGAGACAGAAGCGGGTTGCAAGAAGTGCAAAGCACAATACAGCAGGACACGACGGGCAAACCATATCACACACAGTGCTCCGCAAGTGCTCGGGTTGATACATAGTAGATGTGTCAGTCGTTCTGGAAACCGGTTTTCCCTGCCACAAGACATTATCATTTGGTGCAAAAACAAAGAGGCAAAATTGCGGAATGATTTATGGTGAAGCGCTTCTGCTGCCAAACGGACACCAATTGATGAAAAGAACGTGCGCGTCCTTGCAGGGAGTGGGGGAAGCATGCGCAAAAAGCAAAGCATCCTGGCTGATGTGCTTCATAAATATTGAACTGAACGAAAGACCGACAATCCGAAAGGACTTAATTAAACAAATTTAAACGGAATGTGGTGACCAAAAATGAATAAATGAATAAATAATAATAGATAAATAATAAAATAAATGAACAAATAGAATAATAAATGAATAAACAAAGACAATAAGAATTTGTAAATAACAATAAATACTAATAAATAAACAAACAAATAAATAAGTAATAATAAGTAAATTAAAACAAATACAAACAAACAAAGAAACAAACAAACAAAGAAACAAAGAAACAAAGAAACAAAGACACAAAGAAACAAACAAGCAAACAAACAAACAAACAAGCAAACAAACAAACAAAACAAAACAAAACAAAACAAACAAAACAAACAAACAAATCAAACAAAACAAACAAACAATCAAACAAACAAACAAACAAACAAACACACAAACAAACAAACACACAAACAAACAAACAAACAAACAACCAACCAACCAACCAACCAAACAAACAAACAAACCAACAAACAAACAAACACACAGACAAACAGACAGACAGACAGACAGACAAACAAACAAACAAACACACACACAAACACACAAACACACAAACACACAAACACACAAACACACAAACACACAAACAAACAAACACGCAAACAAACAAACAAACAAATAAATAAATAAATGAATAAATAAATGAATAAATAAAGAAAGAAATGATTAATAATAAATAGGTTAATAGCTAAATACACATATACATAAATAAATGAATAAATCAATAAATGCACCAAAAGACAAATAAATAAATTAATATATATATATATATACATACGTACAGTATGGCGATGGAGGGAGAGAGAGAGAGAGAAAAATATATGTATATAACTATAGGCTCGGGCGCAGGCTTCCTGTTCATTATCCATGCTCCATGGGGTATCCATGGATGGTTTCATCAGCCGCTTTTGGAAGAGGCCCTTCTTGGGCCTGGACAAACGATCGGTCAAGAAGATTGCAACTGTCCTCAAAGATTTCGACTCTGGACAGCATTCGGTTTCATCAGATACAGTTTGCAGCATTGACAGCATTGACTTCTTGCAACTGTTTTTTTTTTACATGATTTCAGTCCACCTGGCATGAAGACCAGGCTGCTCTTGGAATTAAAGCCTTCAAGCGTGACGCAGTTTGAAACCAAGGTCGTTCGCCGCGGCGTTGCACAGGACGGGATGGGGCCTTTGGTGAGACCAGGCTTCCATGTTTTGGAGCTGAATAAGTAAGCGCATAAACGGCCAAACAACATCAAACAACATCAAGCAACCACGTTGCTTCTCAGCGCAGATGATGTCTGGGAACCTCAAACAGACAACAAGGCCTGAGTCTCATCCTGGTTTATCCCTTTGGACTGCGTGGCAGCAAGCAAACAGACTAGTCCACTAGTCCACCGAGTTCCTTTAGCGAACGTGCCCTGCGTTTCAATTTTGTGTGAGTGAGGCGAGCTACTTGTAAAGATTGCTTTCAGCAATCGTGCATGGATGACTTGGAAAGGCCTACACCCCATTTGGAAACTCAATGCGTTCACTTGCTTTGTTGCGTTTAGTTGGGGGGAAGATTTCTGGAAGTCGGTGCGTGCTGCGTCCAGGTGGTGTTTTGGAAGACATGTTTTAGAACACTGATATTTTTACCTGCATTCTTGTAGGTTCGGAATTTCCCTAATGTGTCAGTTCCATTGGGAATTGGATTGTGTTGGGTTTTCCCCTTTTGAAATTTGGAGATGTGGTTGTGTTGAAATGATGAGGGGGATTGGTGGCGAGGGTTTTTTTCCATTTTATGGCATCGCCGGGGTATCGCCAGAGTATCGCCGGAAATTCGTGAGTTGTCTTGCCTTGTCTTGTCTTGTCGCTGCTGCTGCTACTGCTGCTACTGCTGCTGGTTCTGCTGGTCCTGATGCTGCTGTTGCTGCTGCTGTTGGTGCTGCTGTTGGTGCTGAGCAGGGCGATTCGCTAATGCGCCTGCTCGGCACGTGCCAGTCGTGACCGGGTTTTGCACCTTCGCCGTGAGCCTATAGGCCTCAGGCTGTGCCTGGCACGGGAGGCTTGTCTGTTTGTTTGGACTGCATCCGTCCTTGCACCTGTATCTTTGGTTGGTCGCTTCACTTTGACTGTAGTTGTGGTGAAACTTGCGTCCCATTGCGTTTTTCAACAAAATCATTCAAAATAACCTAAAACAATGACTGCATAGATGCAGCGTCCACAGTATGATTCCTAATTTTAGAGCCATAAAAAGCACCGAACATTAAACGAAATAGATGATTGCCGGCGCACAGCATCCCATACTGATTTGCATAATTTTGCACTGACTTCTGTGACTTCCTGAATGCGCAGCGTCGCATCGTGATTTGTTTTCAAACAGACGGTGCGTTGACTTTCCCGACTGGGTGTAGGGGTATTCCACAAATATCCTGAGTGGATTCAAGATGTTTTAAAAATATTTAAGATGATTTGAGTTTTCAGTGGAAAATGTCCAAACAATTCCAAACATGTTTAAATAGAAAAGTTAGTCAGTTAGTCCAATTTAAACGCCATGTATGCCATGTTGTTTTTCGTTTTCAACGGGAGGACTCTTCGAGCTTTCTCTCGCGGCGGCCTCGGACGTGCATCGTCTCCGGCATCACACCGGACGGCTTGGAGGCACCGGTATGCACCAGTTCACCATAGTTCACCATCTTTGTCAAATCTTTGTTTCATGAAATCTTTGGATCTATTTGGATTTCTTTGGATTTCTTTTTTTAAAAATATGTTTGAATTCTGTTTTGAATCTATCAGAATCTATCCATCTATTCATCATCTATCGTCATCTATGTATCTGTCTCTCTATTGAATCGATATCATCACATGTAATCTAAGTCTCAATCTTAATTTCAATCTTTATTTCATTTCATTTTGATCTAAATCAAGAACTAGGCTTAAATCTAAATTAATCCAATCATATCTTATGGAATCTTTTGTCATCTAATCCCATCCAATCTATCTACAAATGCAAAATAATTATCATGACGGAGGATGAGCTGATTGTCGAGATGCAACTGCTGGCGAGGATGTTATCCTGCAATTGTGTGATGTCGAGCTTCCGCATTTCTTTCATTTTGCAGGTGGCAGACAAGATCTACCGAGTAACAAAGCGGGGTGCTGACGAAGTCTCGATTCACGTCGCGCATGAAACGCTCCACCAGGAGATTTGCTGCAGCTAGAATTTTCACTACGGCTACGGCCATTTTGATGCGTCCAATCTGTTGGGTGCGGCACTTCAAATTTTCCAACACAATATCAACTATAATCATTTCCAATTCCTCTAAGTAGTACCTACTGTAATTTTTGCTCCTGGCCTTCCCTCGGGGAAGATATCCTGATCAAGCCTATTGTCACTCTCTTCTTTTTTGACCGAGCCTGTTCCTGCCACGTGCTACTTATCTAGAACTGCGGGCTATTGTGTGCGAGGTTGAGAGAAGGGAGTAGGAGCACAGTGCGCAGGATAAAAAGAAACAGAAACATTGGGAACGAGGAAGCCAGTGTGGAAGAGTAAACCGAGTAAACATCCTGCCTTTCTGCTGTGCCGCCAATACATTCGAACTCTAGCAGTAGATTTGAGTGAAACACGAGAAGGGCAGTTTGTTTCGTCGCAATTGCAGGAGCATGTTTTCGATGGTCACATTGAACTTCAGAGCGAAATGAGCGGTGTCCTAAGCGGCACCGATGCTGCAAGTGCATGGCGGTACAACGCTGCGACGACAGTGGAGAGAACGAGTTCAATATAGTTGCTGAAGGGCACGTCATCATCTACAGTTTGAAGGTGTTCAAAGAACAGTGAAAAAATATCGTTTTGTATGTTTTGTTCTCCAGTTGAGCCTTCAAGCTTGAGAGGAGCCATTAAAAATGGCAACCGTTTCACTTCGTGTGGGCATGTGCTTGTGACGGAAGCATTTGCCGAAATGTGTTAGTGGCTTGTCTCTGATGCGGAGTCAGCATGGAACAAACATGAAAATCTGTGCACTTTGGTTCTGCTGCCAGGACCTGCCAGCTAACTTGGGAAGAGATGCATGAGGTCGTCAAATGTCGTCAACTACTTTCTGGATCTTTCTGGTTTCTCTGTCAACCATCCCTCACTTGTCCACTTCTTTCTTTTTACCTGAGCCCAATTTCCTCAAGGCTTTGCTGCTCAAGGCGTTTCGACCATGGGGGTGTCCAGCCATGCCGAGCACTTTGGCAGTCCGTGGTCCTGGTTTCCCAGAAGACGCACCCAGAAAGGCGGGGCGTTCCTGTCATCGCAGATTTTGTATGATTTTGTGCTCTGTCCAAATTGAACCAAATTGAATTCGCTTTCTACAGTTATACTGAGTTATACTGAACAAAAAACTACTCGCTATTACTCGCTACTGTGTGCCTCCTTTGGGCGGAGATTGCAAGGTGAACTATAGAGCTATTGGTCGCGGAAACGGAGGCGTTGTGAAAAAGCGAACGCCCACCTTCATCAAGGACGTGGATCCGCCAACGCCCAGCAGTGTACCAACCAAGTACCAGACCATTTTGCGCCAAGTCTGTTTCAGAAGTTTTGCTTTGCCCAGCTCAACTTTTGTGCTTACCTTCTTGGGCTGACATTCCCCAGCCATTCTGCCAGTTTTTCCTATTTCTTGATGTTCTTGGCAAGGTACAGAAACAATCGCGAACAGAAAGGGTTTCTTGGCAACTCACCTCGCTTTCCAACACCCAGAGCAGAGTTGACCCCAGGCCCAGGACTGTACACGACTGACGAGCCTCTAGATGGACCGCCTCCAGAGCCTATGCGCGGAAGAGGTGGCTCAAAATGATTCAAAATGCACACTGTGCACTGCCGTGCACACCCCAATGTATCAGACAACATCAGACAACATCAGACAACTACTGTATCCAGGCAGTACCAGATGCCAGCGGCCTTTTTCAAAGATTACTGATTACTGTAATGTGCGAAGTTTCGTTTGCTCGGAGTCAGGCATGTTGTTATTTACCGTTCGTTCAAATGGTGATATACGGCTATTATGGTAGATCTATGGATACAAGTGTGGGTTGGCATTTGTGTGCACGTAAAGCACGTAGATTGATTTCATTCATGTTTACAGATCAGGCAGAAGTTTACGTCGTTTACAGTGGATATCAAGTTCACGCTGCATATCTTTCGTTTATTTCGCAAGCTCCTCGAAAGCCTTGCAAGGTCCCTTCGCCTCACGCACTCCGCGATTGCCACATCCATCGAAGGCTCATGGCTATGTGCCACCTGGCCCTGGAACCTATGCAACCGCCACAACTGCCTTGGATGTAAGGGATTCTTCCCCAAGTGCATCGTTTGCCTTACCTGGTGCAGGGAATCCTGCAAAATATTTTGCAGAAACAGAGCCAGGTCCAGGAAGCTATTTGGGCACTGCACTGGTACCTTCTGGCATCTTGGCATGCCTTCAGTGGCCTTGTACAGTATTTCTTAAATCAATGTGTTGTAAGACATTTGTTTCGCAATGATTTTCCCGCTGGTAGGGGCAGCTACAGCTAGGTGGGATGCTATTCACCAAAGCTACAGTGTACAGCAACGGTAGCTAGCTGGAATTGCTTCTTGCTTTAGCAAGGGATGTGGGGGGCGCAGCCCTGACCAACCTGGGCTCGCATATCGGCATATCCCAAGACGTGTTACCCAGAAATACCTTGACCCCACCCCTATAGATATATACTCCATCCAGCTCATTTCTCCTAATTCACTCGGCCGAATTCACTCCATCAAACCCACTCCACCCTCACTCCAGTTGCTCCTAACCCACTCCGCCCAGGGCACTCCATCCGCCTCACTCCATCCCACCCCCACCTACTAATTGGATAATATTACTATATACTAGCGCTAGCGTTAAGTCGTATCAGCTTGTAAAAGTCGTATCGGGAGGCCTAACATATATCCTTATATATCATCCTAGATCATAGCCCTGCCAATAGGATTTGCTCCAGCTAACCCACTTGCATTGCAAGAAATTTGAGGCTGTACCAATAGGGGTTTGATTTGGTCACGCGACGCAGGACATCAATATAATATATTCAAATCCAATAGGATTAGCTGCCGAGAATTTGTTTGTATTAACTTGTGCCCTTCAAAATCATCGCTGTGCGCAATGCTTCGGCTATTTTAAACTACATCTCCAAGTATGGATGAAACAGGCTGTGCCATGGTGATTCTTCTTCCCTGATGTGACTTTCCACTACCTGATGTGACTTCTCCGTATCGCCGCCGTGCCATGGGGATGATGTGACTTTTCCCGCCTGATGTGACTTAAGTACGGTGCTTGTAGATACTCTTCCCAATACTCTGCCACCCAACTCGCTCCAGCGACCTTTGCTCCCCTTGCTTTTCCATTTCCATTTCCATTTCCTCCTACCTTCCCCCTGCAGAAGTTTTCGTCCACCAACGCTTTGGACGCAAGTCAACTGATTGACCTCTGACTTGTGGTCTGTGGTTGGTGATCCACGCTTGGACCCTTCAGGGTGCACTTTGTGGATGTTTCCTTGTTTTTTAACCAGGACAACGCTAGTAGTTGAGTGGCCAAGACAAAGCGAAGGAAGATCAGCTGGGGCTGCTGTGTTTGGAAGCAGTCCTCGCAACACTCTGCAAGACAACATTTACCTGGATGTGCCGGGGCCAGGGCAGTATGATCAGGCGGGGCGGCAATAATTTCTCGCATCCACAGTTCATTTGGACAGCTGAGACATTGAAACGCATTTTCCTTAAACTGCTGCAAGTTGGCTGGGAACATGGCGCAGATTTTCTGCATGGACGTCAGTTTTGCACTTGTGAATCTGGCTGGAATAAACTAAACTTGAATACGATATGAGTGTTTCCTGGCAACCGAATCAGGTCGATGCCGAGGAGAGGATGAGAAGCACAGAAAGGCCAAGCCCAAAGCATTTGGTGAACGAGCCTTTCGATACAGAAGCGGCCCAATTTCGAAAAGGCAATGACTTATTGAAAGGACCGGACAAAGAGCGAGAACGAAGCACTTCTCCTGGCCCAGGCCAGTATTACCCGCAACTGGATGTGGTAAAGGGGAAGACAAATTTCAGCGCTCGTGGTCATAGCTCCTTCCAAATTGGAAATTCACATCGGCCCCGAAGATGGAGAGATACCCTCCCCGGACCGACAGATTATATGCCAGCCATGCCGTCTATGGAGTCATTGACGAAAGCGAATCCAGGAGCAGCAGGTTTGAGCACACTTGTCTCCAAGACTCAACGCTTTTCAAAGCTTTCTCCTCGTGCACCAGGCCCTGCCTACTACGCGCCACAAAATCACAGTGGTCAAATGTCCTTCCATTTGAATATGGAAAACACATGGGTTGCGTAGGGCAAATATTGAAAGCTGTATGGGCCCTTAGGCATAGTTGGGACATGTTGGGACTTCTTCGAATTGAAGGAGCCCATGGCTTGTGTCACCCTACGCAGTCGCGAGAATTTGGCAACAAGGCTGAGCGAGAATCGCCCAGACCATGCCCAGACCATGATAGTGTGAGTTAGACGTTTCACCCACATCACACAATTTAGTACAGCGAAATGAGCGCCATCAACAGTGAAGCTCTTGTTGCAACCAATGGCTCCAACTTAAGCCTTCAGCCAACCGTTTGGGAAAGACTCCAGGCACCATGATTACCATATCTTTTTTTTGGTCATGTTCCTCCTTGATTCATGCGCAGGTCTTGCCATGTCTTGCCCAACATTTTCCCTGCAGACAGTGCTCAATTGGGTGATGCGTCATGTGGATCTTTTGGGCTTTGCCTGTCCTGCGATGTTCTGCTTGGTCCGAAAGCACCCCTCTGAACTACCCGTGCTTCGGCCTAAAGTGTATGATGATATTGTATAGTCCCAAGCTGAATTCTATGACAACGGTCCCAACAAGTCCGTGATGGTCGTTCGTTTAGTGTGGTAGTTCCTCCCAGTTGTCCAGCAGGATCTGATGCAGAGACATTTCTTGGTTCAGTGCTGAGATTGAGGCATTTCTTGAGACGTCGAGTCTTCGTGTTAAACGGGTCCTGGGATTTCGCCTTTTTGGGTGACATTTCCATCGACCCTCAGCTCGCCGTGGCTGAAGCAGGCGAATCCTGGAGCCAGGCCGACTGCCCAGAACGATTTTGATCGAATATTCCACTGCAATGTAAAAAAGCATGTAAAAGCCCTAGAAGCCGTAGAAGCCAATGCCAGGAAGGGTTTTTGACTTCAAAATATCATTGGACCATTATTGGACGTCATTGGAATTCTGAGACCTGCAGTGAAGTGATTCACGACATAGTGTGAGCAACTTTTCAACCTTCCAGGTGTTTGTGCCAGATGCTTTTGATCTGCGACCAGACGTGCCAAATTGTGACTGCTTCCCGGATGCCTTCACTTGCCACCATTGTTGTGATCGCTCCTTGGGCCATCGTGGTGAGGGAAAGTGTTGGGGAGACCAGCGTCGCTTGGAAACCGTGTGGACCTATGACGAGAATCCTGAGGTGGGGTGTGACATGCCATTCCTTTCTCAGATTCGGGCTGGCCATTCTACATTCTGCATTTTGTGATGTCCTGTGCATAACGCTGAGTTTTGGACTTCACTAGAACTTTGACCTTTGAGGCACCATTCGACTTTTGCTGTGGCCCCGACCACATGCGCAACCGCCGCGGGGTTGCTCTCTATCGCACCCATGTGGAAACAAGACCGAGGGCAGCTGGCGTATTGATCTTCGGCGCCTGTACCTTTCGGTGCATCGTGCTGGTGGATGGAACTGCTGCTCGGGCTGAGATGCGCTCTATCACTTGTTTTCTGATTTCTCCTGTGCATGTACATATAAACAATAATAATCCCTTCCCCCTAATAATAAACGCCTCGAGTAGTTTTTAGTATTAGGGTATTTAGTATTGGGGTGCGAAGTTTCCGTATTCATTTTAAAACTTGAATGGCGCTCCCCCGCCGCCGACCCCGGAAAAGAATCTGGGGTCCCGGCAGCTGCTTGAGTTTCGGAGAAGGAGGTGATTTTTAAGATGGGAAACAAGAAAGCATCCAGAAAATGTCAAAATTATATTCATTCCCTACAAGTCCTAGAAACTCATATGTTAGGAACTGGGCCCTGGCGATGGGAACTACAGGAACCAAGATCCTGGCGATAGGAACCAGGGCATACCAGAAGAATCATTACCCCACCCAATCACCCAAAACATGATCAATCAAGCACTTGTTGATCCTGATCCATGGAAGTAGCGGGCGCAAAGAGATTTTTTTCACCTTCGGTGAGCTATATAAGTCATATGGTTTGCTAGCACTGATGCGGAGGATGGCTCTTTTCAAGACCCTGGCCTCCATCCCTGGACCAGATGCCAGGTGAACTATCCTTTTGACACTTTTCATCAGGTCTGCTCCCTGGAAATTATGGTAAAAACATGGGTAATATTTTTCCCTCAACAAATCGTGTTGGAGATGATGATGAACATGGGCTTTCGGAATGACTTGCCAGGACAACTTTTGCTGTCCCGCAGCCTCCGATGCTGCAGCGTTGTAGAAATTAAGGGCTTGAATTCCTGTATCATGTAAGTGAGTCGCCTGCGCATCTGTTAGATAGCGCCCGATCCTTTCACACAAACGTTGCCATTCTGCAAAACATGACCTTCAGTCGAAAAGTGTGTTGTAGACCAAGAGCAACAAAATATAAGGATCCCCCTAAGACTGAATTCAGCTAATATTGAGCGGTTCAATGTAGACATATATTTTAGGCAATTTTTGAGGTCGGGGTTATTGCTATCCAAAATATCCAAATGATTAATCCCATAGACCCTTGTTTTTCCATGCCACCAAAAAAAAGGATACCCTTAGAAACATACTAGCTCAGTATTGTTGGATTTGATTTTGGGCCGATTTTTGGGTTATCAAGCCACACTGTGGCAACCCCCAATGACCACAACTGCCGGCGCTTTTGGAAAGCTTCATGGTCTTCACCTGGAAATGGAGACAGAATCTCGCCAAGCAAGCGGTAAAGTTCTTCCTGGGTTTTGGGAATAGACCAGAGGACAAGAGGTTGTTGGTTGTGTGAAATAAAACAATACATTTTTGGGGTTAGCCCCACAACAAGTTGAGACCAGTATCTGCCAAAAAGGCAAGGATTACCCTTCCATTGAAAGCCTTGGCATCAAAAGATGGGTAGCACGGACCCTGTGCATCTGTCATGTTCAAGTTTTTGGTGGTCCACCTTTGCTGTGAACACGTGATTCTGTTGTGTCGGGCCTATTGTTAAAAGGCAAAGTAGAGATGGCGAAGTGCTTCACCGAATGTACACCCCCAACGTTTTTCCTTGCTGGTTGCTAGCATGATGCATGATAGATTGGCAAACCATAGGATATCATGGGGGATATCTTGGAGATTCTATGTTTTTTTTGTTTTAATCAGTTATTTTTGATTATGAATTACGACATGTCAACTGCGGGGTAAACTAGTTCGCTCAGGGAGGGCCATGGCGTCGGCACTGGCTCCTGCTGCGACAGCACCACCAACAAGGTGCGGAACCAACCACTTGGACTGGAGCCCTCGTCTGATTCAGGGTTGAATTTGAGAGAAAGACATAATATGATATGATCTGGGTTCTTTAAGTGGTTGAAGGGAAAATGAGAGGAAACCATACTGATGACCAGCAATGTGCAGCGGATGGTTTGAGCATTTTTATCTGGGAATTGTTAGGATGGTGAGGAGATGTGTGTTTTTTGATCTGAAGCTGGCAATGAAGTGGATGGCCGGGCTCGAGTCTAAGACGGTGTCCCTGTTGTTGTAGCACGGCAGCTTCTTCACAGAAAGCGGCCCGCTGAAGAGACGTCGCCAGGGAGTTGCCGCCGTGGAGGCGGTGGCGGTGGCGAGCAATGCGGAGCTGTGCAACCTGGGTGAACACGCCGTGGCCAATCTGGAGGTTGCGGTGCTCCAGGTGGGGACTCTGCGACAGGAGCCGAAGCCGTCCTGCACAGTGATTGTAGGAGACAAAACTGGCATCGTGCTGTGTCCTTAGGGATTCTGTGGCGACGAGGATAGCCACCGTGTTGCAGGACAAGTTGGAGGAGGACCAGGATGGATTTCCGGGTGTGAGCTTGGAGGGATTTCAGGTTCGTCGCCTCACCAGTGTTGCAGGAATTGAGGTGGTGAAGTTGCAATCGACTCCGCGGAGCGGGGTTGAGGTTCAGGAGTTCATGGTTCAGGTGAAAAGCAGCGTGCTGAGTGACTTCGCGATGCTGGAGGTGGCGAAAGCGCCCTTAGTGGTTCATCTGATGGGCCAGGTGATGGAGGTGTCGGAGCTTGGAGAGGCAGCCTCCGTGTCCCCGATGCGAGGCGCCTGTCTGCTGAGCAATAAGGGGTGGTGCCGATCAAAGTGGACGGCGACTTGGCGAGCCACGAGCTCTTAGTGGTGGGGCAGCCTGTCTTCGCATTCTATGTGGACATCAAGGTGAGGAAGGATCCCAAAGCAGCCGCGACGGCTTTCATTTCCCTCAAGGATTCGGAGGGCGCCCGGGAGCATTTGAAGGCAGGCTAGTGCCTAACGTCGCTTTCTAAAGCCATTAAAAACTTTCTTCGAAAGGGGAATCAGTACACCCAAAAAAGCAAACCAACGCTGGCTTTCCCGCTCGCAAAGATTCGGAGGGCGCGCGGGAGCATTTGAAGGCAGGCTAGTGCCTAACGTCGCTTTCTGAAGCTTTGAAAGGGGAATCAGTGAAAGCCAGGCCAGGTACAGCCAAAAAAGGCCATACCAAGGCTGCAATTTCGTTCCCGGAAGGATTCGGAGGGCGCAAGGGAGCATTTGAAGGCAGGCTAGTGCCTAACGTCGTTATCTGAAGCCACTGAAAGGGGAATCGGTGAAAGGCAGCCAGGCACAGCCAAAAACGCCATACCAAGGCTGCGATTCCTTTCCCCGAGGATTCGGCAGACTAGGGCATAACGTCGCTTTCTGAAGCCACTAGAAAATATTTTGAAAAATTGTTTGAAAGGGGAATCAATGAAAGCCAGGACTGGTACAGCCAAAAAGGCCATACCAAGGCCAGGATTCCCCGCCCGCAAGGATTCGGAGGGCGCCCGGGAGCATCCCGGAGGAGTTGGAGGGCGCCCGGGAGTAACGTCGCTTTCAGAAGCCACTAGAAAATTTCTTTGAAAGGGGAATCATTGAAAGCCAGGCCAGGTACACCCAAAAAGGCAATACCAAAACTGGGATTTCCCGCCCGCAAGGATTTGGAGGGCGCGCAGGACCCTTTGAAGGCAGGCTAGTGCCTAACGTCCCTTTCTGAAGCCACTAGGGGAATCAGTGAAAGCCACGCCAAGTACAGCCAAAAACGCAATAATACCAAGGCTGCGATTCCTTTCCCGAAGGATTCGGAGGGCGCGCGGGAGCATTTGAAGGCAGGCTAGTGCCTAACGTCGCTTTCTGAAGCCACTAGAAAACCTCTTTAAAAGGGGAATGAGTGAAAGCCACGCCAGGCACAGCCAAAAACGCCATACCAAGGCTGCGATTCCTTCCCGGAAGGATTCGGAGGGAGCCCGGGAGCATTTGCTGCTTTCTGACAAGAAAAAACTAGGCCAAAAGGTGCCTTCAACGTTTTGGGGGCAGGCAAGTGCCTAACCTGGTTTTCTGAAGCCACGAGCAAACATCTTTGAAAAGGGAACAATGAAAGCCAGGCCGGGCACAGCCAAAAAAGCTCTAGCAAGGCCTCCGTTTCCAAAAATTGGATTTTGAAGTTGTCCCCTTATATAAGATTAAAAACTTTAATATAAAAAAAACTAATTGTTTATGTCAATATCGATTAAATTTCCTTTTAAAACAAAATTAGACTCTTGCCAAGAATTGGATTTTGATGCTTTCCCCTAGTATTAAATTAACAACATGAACATAAAGAATAAAGAGCTAAAACTTTCTACTTCATTAAATGCCCTTGTAAATCTGATTAAAATATTG